AACCCCCCAACCCTTGAAGTACGTCCCGCCCCCCCCCCCAACCCCTGAAATACCCGCGCCCACCAGGGGTCCGACCGGATTTCCGGTTGGATCCGGTCCGGTCCAACCGGCCGGTTGCCGATGCAGCCCTGACACGCACACACACACACACACACACACACACACACACACACACACAGACACCCACACACAAAATAGCCAAGGTCGGGCACAATTTGGCCCTCATCATGGCTAGGCGGTACCGTGGTGGCTCTGAGGTATACTCCCTGCGCGACACTATGTGGGCTGGATGGTATGATGTAGACTGGGAGGCACCGTGCAGACCATGCAGCCCACACCACGTGCACTGGATGGCAATAACACACACATTCGCTCTCCAAAAAGAAAAAGCACACACCACCACAGAAAAAAGACAAAGCATGGGGCTGACGCCAGGCACAACTTGGCCCTTGGCACAGCCAGCTGGTACTATGTGGGCCGGGTGGTATCATCCAGGTTGGGTGGTACCACACGGACCGGGTGATACTATGTGGTACTCAGGGGCCAGGCAGTACCATGTGGTCAGGGTGCTACTATGTAGGTTGGGTGGAACTACGTCAAGTGGGTCATAATACGTGAACTGGTTGCTAGTACGAGGGCTGGCTCGTACAGTGTGCGGTAGGTTGATGATGCCATGTGCGCCAGTAGAAATGGCAAAAAACAAAACAAATACACTACCAGCAAAAGAAAGACGCCAAGCATATGGTGGCCAATTCGAGCAGACTACAAAACGACAAAAACACAAACTCTGCCAACCCCTGGGGAGGTCCCACTCGCTAAGAGGACTGAATTAAAAGGCTGGATCTGGACATATTCGCGGAGAAGTGCACAAAATCGCAGTTCAACTGTTTTTCTGCATCTCAACAACGATGAAAAGGAATTCTGCCCACCCAGATTTGAGCTATCGAACTCATCATCAAGATTGAGCAACAACAAACACGACAAAGAAACCGAACTCTAGACACCTCATCATCCAAATGGGCCTGCTGTGTCCCTCAACTCGAGCAACACCCAGAAAAGACAAAAGAAAAAAAATAGAACGCAGCCTCCAAAATCGACAGAAAGATGATGACCACTGGACCCCCAAATTACAAAGACAGTCTCATGCAGCACTGGGCGCAACGGGAAAAGGGGTCCCATGGGACAGCGTTACTAGAGACCCTCTATCCCCTTAAAGAAGGTTAAGGGAAGAAGAAATACAACACGGAATCTTGTCTGGTCAAGAAAGCTGGGATCCACTACCCAAAGCTGTGCAAGCGTCTCAAATTGCCCTGGCCTTTATGACCAAACAAATTCTCAATACCTTCAGAAGTTCAAATTCATCTCGTGTCTTTCTACAAGATAGCAGTTTGCACATCACTTTCTGAGGATGCAATTCATGCATTCATAAAACAACAGCAAAGTGCAGCGCATTGTCTGGCCCAGTCCACGTCACAGTGATTGAATCTGTCTGATTGTTCCAATTCCCTTCCCCATATGTCATACCATGCACCGATACTGCATCTCTCCCCAGGATCCCCCAACCAAGACACACACACACACACACACACACACACACACACACACACACACACACACACACAAACGCACAAATGGACAGACACCACTTTTCTAAGGGGTATCACTAACTCCGGGCAATGTGGTCAGTCCTTATCACCAGTCAGATGCATCCTAGGCAAACAGCTCGGCAAACAGCCGGGGTTCAACCTCCTGATGGGTCGGTGGAAGGCGATGAAACAGTTGCAAGAGTTATGCTTTTCTTTTGTGGCTTTGCCGCATTTCTGTATAGCGAACATAACACACACACACACGTAAAGAACACAAGACCAAAAGACAGGAAACCCCTCACCACCGTACCTTGTTCGAGGGTGCATCAAATGCCGCCGCAATGACTTGCAGTAGTTGTTCCTTGTATGGAAGGAGTGCTTGTCCACCAAAAGTAATGATAGTGCAAATAACATTGAGATAGTAGGTGACAGATGTCTCCAGAGCATCCGAGATTATTGGCCACTGTACAGAAGCCAATCCCAATGCAGCAGCATAAAGAGTCACAATACTTGGTATCAAGAAATACTTGACAAAAGCACCATACCCGAATCTATAGCCCAACAATATCCACAAATAAACGTTACAGGGCAGTCAAATCCACGAATACAAACGAAGCCCTTGGTAAATACGCACTACACTCCCTGAAACGAAATCAACAAAACCTCAGAGAAGGATGGGTTGTCCAGGGAAGAACCAACAACCTCCCAGGACGTGTGGGTCAAGTACTGGCGTGTCATGAGCAATGGCCATCTGGGATATCATCAACAGGTCATTAGGCAAGAGTGCATGACCCCTTCTCGTAATACAGAAAAAGCATCTCTACCTCTCATGCAGAAAGAGGGACAGAGAAGACATAAAAAACTGCAGAGTTGCTGACCAATTAAACAACACTAAAATATATCCACATCATGTTCCATTCCATGTAGATCCCCTTCCCCCGTCTCCTTGCCGCTGCCTCTGACAGGAACTGGCAAGCGGAATGTTGACATGCACACGGCGAGGGGGGAGCAAGGAAGCAAGACTGTCGAGGGAGAGTGCACAACCTCGTGCAGACATGAGGAGCTGGGTAGGGGAGAGTGCTGAGGGGAGTCACACAGTGCCAAAGAATGGGAATCATAGAGAAGGCACATGCTCCATTTTAAGATAAGTTCACCCAAAGTCAAGACCAGATGCTCTGTGTATGCGTTATTGATTGTCACCAGAACCACCCCTTTTTAAACCAGATGCATGTCTCCAAATTGAAACAGCCTTACTTTATAATCTTCGATCAAGTTATAACTATTAATATTCAATGATTGTAAATGTAATGTAACTAATGTTGATAGAACCACCCCTTTTTAAACCAGATGCATGTCTCCAAATTGAAACAGCCTTACTTTATAATCTTCGATCAAGTTATAACTATTATATTAAATGATTGTAAATGTAATGTAACTAATGTTAATAAAACAGCTCACTCGTTGTTGTATTCTCGAAGGTGCAAGGCACACCACGTCTATCTGTGTGGTGTAGACTATCACCAGAACAACCCCTTTTCCACCCAGATACGTGAATCCAGGTTTGTGTGGTGTAGACTGTCACCACAACAACCCCTTTTCCACCCAGATATGTGAATCCAAAATTGACGACAACCTTCCTTTATAGTCAGACATAAACATAAAATAGCTTTTTGAAAATATTTGTTGTTTTGATAAATGTAATGTTTACATCGTTTAGATAAAACTGTCATTCCATTGCTGTATTTCGAACAGTGTAAGGCCCACCATGTCACTGTGCATAAGCGTGGGAAGCATACACACCCATTTGTCCTTCAGCACATCTACACCTTATATTTTGTCTGTCCCTTAGCGATGCTCGTTCATATGCACTGAATAGTTCGGTACGAGCAGAAGGGGATGGAGAGAAGGGTCAGATGGAGAATCCCAAAAAACTTGCTCAATGCTAGGATGTGATCAGGTGGGTCACTGTGGCATTGAGCAAGTTTCTTGGGATTCTGTAACCAACACTGCCTGTCTATCACAGTCTATGGACAGGTGTTTGACGAAAGGTTATAGCGGTCATGAATGCCATAGACAACACTTCCAGCCACATTACCGTCCTCCTCAATATCGTGCTCCAGTTCTGTCCAGCAGACAATGACGGGAAAGTCAGAAACAGTACAGCGGTGGCAATTTGTAGGGAGACGCACAGACAGACAGAGAGAGAGAGAGAGAGAGAGAGAGAGAGAGAGAGAGAGAGAGAGAGAGAGAGAGAGAGAGAGAGAGAGAGAGCTGGGATGGGGGCCGGGGGCTTCAGTTACTTAGGAGGACGGTGAGAAACTCAGTATTGGGGCAAAGGGCAGGGGAGTGGAATGCACGGGTGGGGGGAGAGTCAAGAATGGAGGGCAAGAGGAGACTTTGGATGGGAGGATGGAGAGTCAGCTGGAATGACAGGAAGAGGAAAGAGCGGAGGATAGTTGGGGTGGGAAGAGCGAGGGATTCTCACTGGAGGAAGTGTTAACTCACCAGCCACATGCCTGAGCAAGGTTTTACTGTTGGTCTGAATGGAATACAGATTGAGTTTATTAACGTTCCTCCTGTCTAAAAAACAATGAATGCCAGCATGGAACGGAGCGTTATGGCTTGCAGGAGCAGAGAGCAAAACATACCTTCTCTAGCTTCTTTCCATCTGGAGCCAGGCCTCCACTGCCACCCGTACGCGGGGTGCCCTCTAGCAGACTTAAGATAGATTCTATGATTGGAGGAAGAAGTGCACGTGATGCTTCCACTGGATTGGCATTTGTTACATTCAGGCAGAGTATTCCGATCTCTGAGGCTGCACCAGGAAGAACACTTGTCTGGATAAACTTGGTCACCTTCCTCAATCCCTGCAACATGCGAAATCATCCCAAACCGTCATGATGAGTTCTGCACGGAGGCAGAGATGAGAGCTCGATTGGGCGGACAGGTTGCTGTTTGCTTCTGCAATTAGATCATCAGCCCTCTACCTAACGTTCTCTGGAAAATGCAATCATATAAACAACAAAAGATATAAACAACAAAAGATAGGGTAAGCAGAGAGAGAAAGGAAATGCTCAAATCATGTGAAATGTAAAAATAGGTGGTCTCCGTCCGGCAGATATGTTGCTGTTTCGTTCTGCGACTACATTATCCTCGTAACAATTCAGTAATACAAGCAAAGTCAGTGGTCTATGCCCGCACACATTGAAAAAAAAAAGAAAAACTTCAAAAAATCAATGACGCGTTTTTTTTCTTGTTCTCGTCATTACCCTCCACCTCCCTCCACCTTCTCCTTCTCCTCCTCCCTCCTTCATCCTCCCTCCTTCATCCTCCCTCCTGCTTCCTCCTCCTTCCCCCTCCTTGCTCCTCCTTGCTCTACATTGCTCAATTTGTGAAAGAATATCTACCTCCTCCCTTCCTCCTCCTGTCCCGGCATGCAATTGTGTTTCATCTTGTTCTCGTCCTCGCCATCCTCATCCTTACTCCTCCTCCTCCTCCGTCTTCGTCTCACCTCAACCTCCACCTCCCTCCTTCCTCTCCCTCTTTGTCTCATCTTGTCGCCATCCCTTTTTCCTACTTCCTCTTCCTTCCTCACCCTTCCTCGTCCTTCCTCCTCCTCCCTCCTTCCATCTCCTCTCTCCTCCTGCCGTGTTGCACATGGCATACCAGCACGTGGTTACTTGTGTCGTCTATCTTGTTCTCATGTCGTCATCCACCTCCCTCCTTCCTCCTCCTCCCTCCTTCCCCTTCGTCTCACCTCGTTCTCCTCCCTCTTTCCTCCTTCCCTCTTCCTCCTCCTCCTTCCTCCCCCTCCTTCGTCCTCCTCTCTCCTCCAGTCGCATGCCATGTGGCACACCGGCGCCTGATTATCTTGTTCTTGTCCTTGCCATCCCCTCCCTCCT